GGTATTTCGCGGTAACTTTCCCAGCTGACTGAGCTGCATAGAGTAATTGGAAAAACCTTGCCTTGGGCATTGGATAATTAATACTCCATGCTCGCGGTAGCTCGCGGTAGTCAAGACACGCTCCATTGAGTAAATCTTGCTATAGCTGATTACCGCAGTCAGCCTTGCTACCGCAGGAAAATCTCCTTTACCGCGGTAGGATAATTTGGCGACGCTCCCTTACCCGTATGAGGACACTATTGAGATAAGTGCTCTTGTTATTTTATGTATGTCCAAATAATGTAACGTGAGTAACCAACACGTTTTAATATACTGTACCACCAATTCAAACACTAATCCTCTGAATTTTTTTGTCTATCCTAGTAAAGGTCACGGTATACAAACTACCACAAAATACCAATAAGTGAATCCTATTACTTTAAAATTTAATAGCAATAATTAACACTTTTGATCAGTAACATGAGCAACCGTGGAATTGCCCCTATGTGGGTTTCTTTTATTTTTTGTTTTGTTTTTATAAATGTTTAAATTGTTGTTTAAATTACACCGAGCTTGTTACTGTCACGCACTATGAAACTTTGGGCGATCTGACGTCATCACAGCCGAAATACATGTCTGCAAAACACCCTACGAAAATGAACCAATTGGCGGGCAGGCTAGTGGCATAACGATGGGGCAGGGGTCCCTGTGTATTTCAGAAACTGAGGGCTCTTTTTGGGTCCCGATCACTAATTCAACGGTGGGAATTTAGATGTGCATTGTTATTCTAAATGTTTTTAACGACGAATAAATGATATAATATGGATCCAGAATTTGAGGTCAGGGAGGGACTTTCACAGTTGAGTCTATACCACCTCAGACCCACCATGGTTGGGGCTGAGGTAAGAAAATTTATGAACATGGCACCTTTAGATGTTTGGAAATGGCACTTCACAGACATAAAATTGTGAATTAATATGATTTTCTTTTTATCTCCAGTTAAAAAATATTTTGCCAAATTTAGTGGGGCCTCGGGCCGGCAGCTCTGGGCCGGCAGTTCCCCCCCCCCCCACAACTCTTTATTCCACCACTGGATATAATACGATATGTCCTACAGTCGATTTCAGACACACATTATGCTGTTGCCCTTGTAGGGCTGAGATAAAAGAAAATGTACAGTATTATTATGGCATTAAAATTGTGAATATAATTTTCTATAATATATTTACGCTCCTTTACATTGTGCTGCAGGTAGTACATTGTTTTGTAGAGCACTCTTATTTTAAGATGGTGCATTGTTTGTAATACTATTTTGCAATTTGCATAGCACACTCATTTTGGGTTTGTGCACTCTTGTATTCATAATCCGTGTACCACGTCACACAGGGTTGACCCAAGCCATGTTTGAGTCTGTCATGTGTTTCATTCTTGAAATCCTGAGCTGCACTGATGAGATCTAACAAGATCGAAACGGTACTGTCTGCAGATTGGAATAAATATATATATACCGTACTCGCGCGAATAAGCGCCCCGTTTGAATAAGCGCCCCTATCGAATAAGCGCCCCTCATAACGTGAAAATTTCCTTAAGCGCCCCGTTTGAATAAGCGCCCCCTTCTAATTTGAATAAACGCCCCTTCAATAACCCAATCAATCCTAGGACTGTGGAAGTTGGCATGATTTGAGGTGTGAAGTGGAATCACATTCTCCTTTAGTCAATATCAAAGTGAGGATATTTATCTTTGACAGAATGATGAGAGCTCCCTGGACAGACAGTATATTTCCAACTTTCATCTTCTTTCATTTGTCTATATCCTAGTCCTAATACTCCTTTTCCGACAATTTGCACCTTTAACACATTCTCATCTAAGTTTTCAAGAAAACCTGCAATGATCATGCCGTCCTGCTATTCTCAATAGACCTATGGCGAACACCACCACCACTAATTTCATGTGCTATTCTATTCTGCTGTTAATACTGTACTCACAACATTCTTGTCATGACAAGCCATGCTCTCTGGACGATTATCTTTTCCGCCGCAGCACCATTCGTAATTTGCGGTTTCCTGATGTCCTTATTTAATCGTTTTTCATTCAAAATGTGCCTCGTGGAATTAATAAATTCTCATAAGAACCCCTCGATTTTCATGTATTTCCATAAGCGCCCCCTCAATTTTCACTCTGTTTTTATAAGCGCCCTGTTCGAATAAGCGCCCCATTTGAATAAGCGCCCCTCAAAAAGTCCAAAAAATATTGGAC